TAAGAATTATTTCACGTAGGAGGTTCTTTACCATAGTGAGGGCAGTTTCTTTTTGTAGCAAAGGCCTCCACCTAACCTGAGAATGTGTCCATAAATATCAGCAGATTATGGTACCCTGCATGAGGAAGGGGCTTGATATGGCTGCCTGGGTGGTCAATTCTCGAACTTGTGGAATCTGGTATTTGAAAGAAAGTAGCTCAGTTAATTTTCAAAGCTGGTCCACAAGGAAGCTCCAAGGGTTGTAAAGCCCCTGCCCTCAGTGGCTCCAGCCTTCTGGGTCCCCTTTACTACAAGGCTGCTGCCATCCATGAACAAGTTGGCATCTGCCTCAAGCAAGAGGGTGTCTTGGAGGTCTGGGCAACTGGCCTGGGAGATGTCCAGCAGATCTTTACAGTCATGTAGGGACACCTCTGGGTTTTTGTTAGACATCAGTGTTGCTGGGTTTGAGGCTCTGACTGAGAAGGTGAGGCGGAGCTGATTAAGGCACAGGCTCTTGTATTGAGTAATTCTGGCATTTGACATCTATCGGCCATCTGTTCCCCGGAGGAAGGTTTCCACTGCATGAGGGGCTGTAAGGATCAAGTCTTGGCCCGAAGCGAGCTTGTCAGCCTCCTTTACCAATAGAGTGGTAGATGGTACGATGCACAGACAGGATGGCCATCCCAAAGCCAGCAGGTTCAGGTGCTTGGACAAGCATGCTGCAGGCCTCTACCAAGATCCCAGAGTCTAGGTCAGCATGCTGTTTGCAACCCCCTGGGTCTCATGAATGAAAGGTGAAATGGTTTTTGTGACATCAGGCAAAACCAGAGCTGGGGCTGGGTTTAGGGCCTCCTTCAGTGGAAGGTCTATTCCTCCATGTGCTGGATAGTTTTAGTTGTCAACTTGACACACCTGGGTTGAGGGAGCCTCAATTGGGGAATTTCCTCCATTGGGCTGGCCTGTGGCCATGTCTGTCGGGTATTTTCTTGATCTCTGAGAAATGTGGGAGGGTCCAGCCCACTGTGGGAGGTACCACCTCTGGGCAAGTTGTTCTGTATTGTATAAGAAAGCAGGTTGAGCATGGACCAGGAGATCAAGCCAGTAAGCAGTGTTCCTCCATGGCCCTCTGCTCCAGCTCCTGCCTCTAGGTTCCTGCCCTGAGCTCCTACCTTGGGCTCCCTCAGTGATGAATTGTGATCCTGGAGATGTAAGCAAATAAACACTTTCCTCCCCAAGTTGGTATTGGTCAGAGTGTTTTGTCACAGCAATTGAAGGCAAACTAGAACACTCCACTTTGTCCATTGGTTTCCTTCAGTGGCTGAGTAGAGAAGTCTTACTATTTCTACAAAGCCTGGGATACAAAGTTGGTGATATTCCACTATCCCCAGGGACAGGGGCTTACCTGTTTTTTAGTCTGGAGTGTGGGAATCTGAAGAATGACTTCCTTCCAAGCCATAGTGAGAGAGTTCTCTTACCTCAAGAGAATTTATATCCCAAGTAGGAGACCTCTGTCTAGCTTTCTTTGCAGAGACACAGTACCCCAGAACCTGGAGCAGCTGGAGCAGGTCTCAGGTGTCTGGCAGACAGGCAGCTAGGTCAGCCGCAGCTAACAAGAGGTTGTCCACAATGTGAGGTCCTAAAGCTTGTTAAGACAGGCTTGGGTGAAGGGGAAAGGGCATGGGAGGGGGCTGCTCAGTAGGGTGTCTACCATCATCTGTGGGGGGCGGGAGATTGAGAGACTGTAAAGGCAGCAGCAGGATTTCATTAAAAATTTTTTAATGTATATTTTTTGTTGAAATCCATCTGGACGCCCCCCATAGCCCACCCTACTGGATTTCATGCAAGTTAGTGTACCCAGATGTTCCCTGGTGCAAGTTCATCCACTGGGGTCTAGTCATCCTATCTAGAGTCTCTCCCTTAAAGAAATCAACTCTCCCGCACCCCGCAGTAACCTCAGCTGCCAACAGTTCTTTGGTTAAAGTAGAGGCCCACAGCAGGATTTTTTTTTTCTGAGACAGAGTCTCCCTGTAGCCCCAGATGTCCTGGAACTCGCTATATAGACCAGGCTGGCCTCAGACTCACAGAGGTCTGCCAGTGTCTGCCTCCCAAGCCCTGGGATTAAAGGCGTGCACTACCAAGCCCAGCCAGCAGCAGGATTTTAAAGGAGGACAGATGGGGAGGGGAACAGAGAAAAGAGTTCGGAGCAAACAGGGTGGAAAATAGGATGGAGGTAGCAGGTAAGACACAGGGTTTACCAGACCTGCCCATATGGCCTCAGACAGGGTAGGCACCACTCACATAACACAGGTGACAAAGGCAGAAGAATTCTTCTCTGAGGAGGAGGCAAGTACCCCAGGTTGGCTTCTGGTCACTGTTAAGCCAAAGTGAACTCAGAGGACAGGCTGGCTCCTCATCCCAGTGGGGATCAGAGAGGAGGTGAAGGGGAAAACACACAGGACAACAACTGAGACAAGACGTACTCTTGTTCTGCGATAGGCAAGACAAAAAGACAGCAACCCCTGCACAGACACTGTCTGGGGAAGAACTTGCCAGGTCTGCAGATTTAAGCACCTCTTAGCAGTAGATGGATTCTGAACTGCCACCACTTAGCCATATGAATTTGCTACAGCCAGTAAGGATCAAATCTGACTCCGTAGCCTCTGCTGGATTCCCAGCTTGGACTGTGGAGCCTGCAATCCAGTATGTGACCAATAGGGATTGGTATACTGGACTGCCCATTCGTTCATTGATTCATTCATTGATTTATTCAATCACACACATAGAAACACATGAAATGAGGTAGAATATTGTGTTCAGAATGGGTATGGTACCCAGCCAGGACCTTCTCAGTCAATATCTTGACTTTTTGAGGAAACACAGGGGAGGAGTTCTCATCAGAATCTCACTCCCAATAAAACCAGACCAGACGAAACCAGAAAGGAGCTCCAATCCAGCAATATCAGAATTTACCTCCTAGATGCTAACCAGAGGGACTCAGTTTTGGTAGTGGGAAATGCAGTACTAATTCCTGGACTCTCTAGCTCTGGTGTGAGTGTCATGGGGCCCTGGCGTATCACAGGGGGCACCTCCTACCCCCTGTAACAATTCATCAAGTTGGGGAGACCCAGATGGAGGCTGAGTCATCCTGAATGGCGATCTTGCTGGGGCCTTCAAAACGCTGTACCTGATGAGTCACAGAGGAACGCCACACAGTGATTCTCAAATTAGGAGCCCATTTATTAGCCAGCAGTCAATAGCAGGCTAATGCCAGAAAGAACTCTTGACCCTGAGGAGGGGCAGGGTAGGGCATATAAAGCCAAAAGCCACACTTATATCATACAGGGATAGGCAAGGTAACAAAAAGTTTCAGTTAGACATTTTTTTTTGGTCTTTTTTTTTTTTGGTCTTTTTGAGACAGGGTCTCCCTATAGATCCAGCTGCCTGGAACTCACTCTGTAGACCAGGCTGGCCTCGAACTCACAAGAGGATCTGCCTGCCTCTGCCTCCCGAGTGCTGGGATTAAAGGTGTGCACCACCATGCCCAGCGCATTTTTTGGTCTTTTTGAAACAGGGTCTCCCTGTAGCCCCAGCTGGCCTGGAATTCACTATGTAGACCAGGCTGACCTTGAACTCACAGAGATCCACATCCTCTGCCTCCTGAGTGCTGGGATTAAAGGCATGCACCACCATGCCTGGCCAGTTAGACGTTTTTTAGAAATAAAGTTAATTCCTGGTACTATGGAAACAATGAACTTCCTTGAAGGGCAGTTGCAGCTGGATAAAGGCGTTCTTCCTGGCTGGATGTGGTTAGCAGGACAGAGCAGGAGTTGTTGGATGAAGCACAAAATGCAGCCAAGCACAAAATGCTGTCAGCTAGAGAAAAATGGAGTTACTTTGCACAGTTTAAAATGACTAGCAGGCATGGTGAACACAGTTGTCATCCCAGCACTAAGGAGAGCTGAGGCAAGACAACTGTGAGACACTCTTGGACTGAGAATACAGCTCAGTGGTAGAGCACCTGCCTAGAATCCCCCAGTGAGAGACTGGGAGGTGTGACTCAGTGGTAGAGCACCTGCCTAGAATGTCCCAGTGAGGGGCTGGGGACATGGCTAAGTGGTAGGACACCTGCCTAGAATCCCCCAGTGAGGGGCTGGGGTGTGATCCAGTGGTAGAGCTCCTGCCTAGAATTCCCCAGTTAAGTGCTGAGGGTGTGGCTCAGTGGTAGAACAGGAAGGTCAAGAGTTGGAGACAGCCAGACCTGTCTTTAAAAAAGTAAAAGAGGAGCTAAGGGGATGGCTCAATGGGTAAGAGAGCTTGCTGCACAAGTATGAAGACTAAGTTCAAATCCCCAGCACCACATAAAAAGCTGACACAGCTGTGTGTGCCTATAACCCCAGGGCTGTAGGGGAAAGAGACAAGATGACTGAGGCCTCCTGGCTGCCAATATAACTCCAGGTTCAGTGAGAGACCCTGTCTCGAGTGAATAAGGTAGAGTGATAGAACAGGACACCTGATGTCCTCCTCTGGCTTCTGTGTATACATGGGAGAGTGTACCTGCACACACCTGTGCGCATATACCACACACAAAAAGCATGTATCTTACATTTGAAAAATAAGACAGGGGCTGGAGAGATGACTCAGCAGTTAAGAGCACTGGCAGCTAACAATGGTCCATAACTCCAGTTCCAGAGGATCTGACACCCTTTTCTGGCCTCTGCAGGCATTGCACACACATGGTGCACTTACATAATGCAGGCAACATACATATAAAAACAGATTTGAAAAAGAAAAAATTTATAAAATATCTTGTTTATAGAAAATTATAGATTCATCTGTGTGGTACATAGAACTATGTATAAAAATATGTCCACCAAGTGCTATTGTAGTTAAGCCAGTGTTAAATCTTGGGGTGACTACTCTTCTCTAAACCACTGTTATTTCAGCTTTCCATTGTGCTTTTCAAAATTTGATGGTCATGTCCAGGTTCTCCATCAGGTTGGCCCCAGGATGCTCAGGGGCCCTCAGATGGGACAAATGAAGGAGAGGAGTAGATCCACTTCATTTCGGACAATGAGCTTCACCGGGTGGATGTTGTCTGGCAAGGCTAGACTGGATGTCATTTCCCAGGCGTCCACAAAAGCCACCTGGAGGCCAGCAAAGGCAGCTCGGAGGAGACGGTTCACCTGGAGTGTGAGCCAGTCACTGCCGTAAACGGATTTATATCCAGTGTTGGCCAGTTTGATGACCACAAGAGTTCTGGGTTCCCGAGCCAGAAGGGCCATCACAGCTTCCCGAATTCCTGCCAGTCGTCGCGCAAAGATGGACGGAGGGAAAGTGGTAAAGTGAGCTCCCAGACCCAGCACCACCACGGTGTAGGGACCCCCAGCTAGGCCATGCAGCTCTTTTGCCACAGAATGCAGGGAGGCCACTGGTGTGCGGAGAGAGCGCAGGGGCCAGCTGTGGGCCCGCCAGTGCATCACTATACCCCGCATTGTCTCCACAGCCATCAGCGGACCTGTCTGATATGTGACGTGCAGATCAAGTGGTTTCAGGGCTGTTGGGAGGATGAGAGAGAAAGTTAGTATACTAACATAGAGAACCAACCAGATGGCTCCGCAGGTAAAGGGCACTTGCCACTATGCCTGATGACTTGAGTTTGATCCCCAAAAACCTCAAGGTGGAGGGAGAGAACTACCTCTCACAAACTGTCCTCTGTCTCCACATGCCTGCCACGGTGTGTCCGAGTCCACATCCAAATAAATAAATGTAATAAAATTTTGTTTAAAAAAACAGTTAATAAGCCAGGCAAGATGGCACATGTCTTTAATCCCAGCACTTGGGAGGCAGAAGCAGGCAGACCTCTGTGTGACTGAGGCCAAGCTGGTCTATATAATGAGTTCTAGGCCAACTGGGACTACAGGGAGACACTGTCTCAAAAACCAAAAACCAAAATGAAAAGTTAATACAGGACCATGAGTCACCTTTTTTTGTTTGTTTCTTTTAAAATTTTATTATTTTTATTTTACGTGTATGAGTGTATTGCCTGCATGTGTATAAGTGCACCTGTGTTGTACAATGCCCTCAGAGATCAGAAGAGGGCGTGGATTCCCCTGGAACTGGAGTTACAGACGGTTGTTAGTCATTACGTGCGTCCTAGGAATTGAACCTGGGTCCTCTGCAAGAATAGCTAGTGCTCTTAACTGCTGAGCCATCTCTCCATCCTCTTGTTTGTTTTGAGAGAGGGTCTCACATGTAGCCCTGTCTAGCTTGGGACTCACTATGTAGATCAGACTAGTCTCAAACTCTCAGAGATTCGCCAGCCTCTGCCTCTTGAGTCCTGGGATTAAAGACGTGCTACCATGCCTAGCTGTGAACCATCTTAAAAATTTTTTTTAATATGTGTGTGCATGTGTGTATCTGTGGGTTAAGTATGTGCACTTGAGTGTAGTGCCTGCAGAGGCTAGGGTCATTGGACACCCTTGAGCTGGAGTTATAAGCAATTGTGAATCACCTGATATGGGTACTGGGGACTGGACTCAGATTCTCTGCAAGACCAGTATATGATCTTAACCACTGAGCCATCTCTCCAGCCCCCATGAACTATCTTCTCGTACAAATAAAAGTTCTTTTCTTTTTTCCTTTTTTTTTTTTCAGTCTTTTTGAGACAGGGTCTCCCTGTAGCCCCAGCTGTGCTGGAACTCACTATGTAGAACCAGGCTGGCCTTGAACTAACTCACAGAGATCTTCCTGCCTCTGCCTCCCAAGTGCTGGGATTAAAGGTGTGTGCCACCACGCCTGGCTTTCCTTTTCTTTTTTTAAGACAGGCCTGGTTGACTTGAAACTTACTGTGTAAAACAGGCTGGCCTTGAACTCACAGAGTTCTACCTGCCTTTACCTCCTGAGCACTGAGATTAAAAGTGTGAACAACCATGACCAGCTATTTTTTATTTTTTAATTATGTGTATGTGTATGGGTATGTACATGTGCGTGCAAGTGCCCAAAGTAGCCAGAAAAAGGCATCAGATCACCTGGAGTTGGAGTTACAGGTGGTTGTGAGCCACCTGATGTGGGAGCTGGGAACAGAACTGGGGTCCTCTGCAAGAGTAGCAAGTGCTTTTAATGGGTGAGCCATCCACCTCTCTAGCCCCTGTTGTTGTTTGCTTTGAGACAAAGTCTTGTATAGGCCAAGCTGGCCTCAAATACACTGGGTAACCAAGGATGACCTTGAAGATCTGATCCCCTGCCTCCACCTCCAGAGTATGCATCACCATGCCTGATTTGATGTGGTGTTATGGATGGAACACAGAGCTTTGTGCTTGCTAGACAGACATTCTACCAACTGAGCTACACTCCTAGCCCAAACTTGTCAGAGTTTTATCTTTTTTTTTAACTCTCCATGGCAAATCCCACTGTCAAATGTGATGCCTTTTGGTGCCTTAAGTCATTCCCTATTTCCTATTCATTCTTTAAGGTTTCTGGGGATGAGGAAATAAATAGCTTCATTGGTGAAGTGCTTCTTTGCAAGCATGAGGGTCTGAGTTCAACCCATAGAACCCATGTTCTGTGTGTGATGACACACCCTTGTAATCCTAGCACTGGAGAGGTGAGGACAGGTAGATCCCTGGGGCTCACTAGCCAGCCACCTAGCCTACTTGGTGAGCTCCAGGCTTGTGAGAGGACTTGTTTGAAAAAAACAAGGTGGACTGCACCTGAGAAATGACACCTGAGGTTGACTTCTGGCTTTGGCATATATGCACCCCCCCCACCACCAAAACACAGGCACATATCTATACACATCCACACTCACACATACCTACACAAAAAACTTCCTATGTATAATTTTTCAGATTAAAAAAAAAGTTTATGTGTATGAGTGTTTCGACTACATGTATATAAGTGCACCCATGTCATGCAATGCCTGCAGAGCCAGAAGAGGATATCAGATCCCCTGGAACTGGAGTTACAGATGGTTGTTAGCTGCCATGTGGGTGCTGGGAACTGAACCTTCATCTTCTACAAGAGCAGCCAGAGCTATTACCTGCTGAACCATTTCTTTAGCCATCCCTATGTGTCATTAAAAAAATACATTTTATTTATTTTGCATGTGTGTGCACATGGGTATGTATCACAAAGTATAAATGGAGGTCAGGGGACAAGTTTTATGAGTTGGCTTACTCCTTTTACCATGTTGGACCCAAGGATCCAACTAAGATTATCAGGCCTGGGGGCAGGTGCCTTTACCCAGTAAGTAATCTTATCAACCCTCTTATTTAAGGTTGGCCTTAAACTCACGATCCTCCTGCTTTAGACTCTCTAGTGTCTAAGGCATTAGCCATTACATTAGTTTCTATGTTCAACTCTTGCATCCAACTTTTAGTGTAGGGGTGTGTGTGTGTGTGTGTGTGTGTGTGTGTGTGTGTGTATGTGTGTGTGTTGGTCAGAGGTAGATGCTGGATGTCTTCCTCTAGAATCCCCTAGTGAGGGGCTGGGCATGTGGCTCAGTGGTAGCAGTAGAGCACCTGCCTAGAATCCCCCAGCAAGGGGCTGTGGGTATGGTTCAGTGATAGAGCATCTGTCTGGAATTCCCCAGTGAGGGATCAGGAGAATGGCTTAGTAGGCAAGGACTCGTCTAACATGTCTGAGACCCTGGCTTCAATCTCACCTGCTAAGCAAGTAAAAACTCAAGTCCTGAATCTTGACTTTGAAAAAGTAATTTTAAAAAATCTTTAAAAATATTTTATTTATGGGGTTGGGGATTTAGCTCAGTGGTAGATTGCTTGCCTAGTAAGCGCAGGCCCTGGGTTCGGTCCTCAGCTCCCCCCCAAAATTATTATTTTTATCTTATGTATGAGTGTTTTAGCTGCATGTATGTAAGTGCACCACATGCATGCAGTGTCCTGCACAGATCATAAGGGGGTGTCAGATCCCCTGAAACTGGAGTTACAGACAGTTGTTAGCTGACATGTGGTACTGGGAATCGAACCTGGGTCCTCTGGACAAACAACAAATGTTCTTAACTGCTGAGATATGTCTCTAGCCCTGAAAAAGTATTTATTTAATGTGTATGAGTGTTATGCCTACATGTAGGTAAGTGCACCCATGTTGTGCAATACCCACAGAGGACAGAAGAGACTTCTCTGGAACTGGAGTTACAGACAGTTGTTAGCTGCTATGTGAGTGCTGGGAATTGAACCCAGGTCTTCTGCAAGAACAGTCAGTGTTCTTAACCACTGAGACATCTCTCCAGCCCCTGAAAAAGTATTGTTTTTTGAAAAAAATAATTTTATTACATGTATTTGCCCAAATGATTTGAAAGCTTACACTTGTACATCCAGATGTTTACCTAAACTTTATTTAAATTGTCAAAGCTTGGAAGCAACCAAAGAGTGAAACATCCCAGACAATGGTATATTACTCAGAGCTAAAAGAAAGACCAGGAGATGACATGGAGGAAACTTCAGTGCAGGTTACAAAATGCGTGAAGTCAACCTGAAAAGGTTGCTCTTTTGTATGATTCCAAATACGTGACATTCTGAAAAGAAAACCTGTGGGTACAGTAACAAGGTCGGTACTTGCCAGGTAAGAGACAAAAGACAGGAACATTTTTAGGCCAGTGAAACTACTCTGTATGGGGACTGGGGAGATGGCTCAGTGGGGAAGAGCATTTGCCATTCAAGCATGAGGACCTGAGCTCAAATCTCCAGCATCCATGTAAAGGGCCAGGCATGGCTGTGTGCCCACTTGTAGCCCCAGATGCGGAATCCCCCAGTGAGGGGCTAGGGGCATGACTCAGAGATAGAGCACCTGCCAAGAGTCCCTTGTGAGGGGTCCCACTGGGGCTTGCTGGCTGAAAAACCTCATTCCAGGGTCAGTGGCATACCCTGTCTCAAGAGAATACAACAGAGAGTGATAGAGCAGGATACCTGATTTCCTTCGGTGGCCTCTGTGTGTATTCTTGGGAGTGCACATGTACAAACATGTGCACATACACCACAACCCCACCACAGTATGATACAATAATGGTAAACACACATATTTATACATTTATCTGAACTCAGAATGTACAAAAAGAGCCAACCCTAATGTGAACTGTGGACTTGGGACAATGATCACATGTATCATAAACACAATGCAGATTTGTGCATTATAATGAATGTATATCTCTGATAGAAGATGATGATAGGGGGCCTGGAGAGATGCTCAGCAGTTAAGAACACTGACTCTTCTTGCAGAAGACCCAGGTTTGAATCCCAGCACCCACATGGCAGCTAACAACTGTCTGTAGCTCCAGTTCCAGGATCCAACAGCCTCTCTGTCCTCCTCGGGCATTGCACGACACAGGTGCACTTACTTACATGAAGGCAATACACGCATACACAGAAAATGAAAAAAAGGGAAGATGACAATGGGAGAGGTTATGGATGTATGATGGTGGGAGGTATATGGGAAAATCTCTAGTTTTTCTGGGAACATAAACTGCTCTAAAAACACTTATGTCTCAGTGCTTGCTTGCAAACATAAAGACCTAAGTTCAATCCCCCCAGAATCCAAGCAAGCGTGGTCTTAAACACTTCTAATCTCAGCGCTGTGGAAGTGAAGTCAGGAGGATTCCTTGGGCTCACTGGCCAAACTTATTTGGCAAGTTCCAGGCTGGTGAGAGCCCCTGTCTCAAATACCATGAAAGGAGGACTGTGAGATGGCTCAGGGGATAAAGACACTTCCTGACAGGCTGAACAATTTGAGTTCCATTCCTGGAACCCATGGTAGAAGGAGAGAACCAACTCCTGAAAGTAGTCCTCTGAGCTCTACAAGTGTGCTGTGGGATGTTCATGACCTTACTACACACACTTTATGCACACATACAATAATAATAAAAATGTAGGGGTTGGACATCATGGCACATGCCTTTAACTGCAGTACTCAGGAGGCAGAGGCAGGAAGATCTCTGTGAGACTGTTGCCAGTCTGGTCTATGTACTGAGTTCCAGGCCAGTTGTGGCTACAGGGAAACTCTGTCTCAAACAAACCAACCACCACCAACAAAATATAAATAATAAAAATATAAAACACAGTGGACAGCACCTACATATGACAGCTAGAATTGTCATCTGGCTTCTGCATGTATGACACACATGCACATGCATGCACATGCACACATACATACACATAGAAGAGACAGATGAAGGCTTAGAAACTCAATGAGGTCTCATCGTGTTATCTGAGTGTTGGTGCCCCATCTTTTCAGCTCATTGCATGACTTCTGGTTAGCTAAACCAGGAAGGCAGCTCCCTGATAATGATTGTGTTCTTGGGTGGGTGCTGGTGATATAGCTCAGTTGGTAGAATGCTTGTCTAACTTTCACAAAGCTCTGGGTTCCATCCTCAGGATCAGAACCTCAAGGTCATCCTTGGCTACATAGAGTTTAAGGCCAGCCTGGGCTGCACGCGACCCTGTGTCATACACAAAAACTTGTGTTCTGAAAACTGTCACGTCTTTACTCAATTACCTTTCAGAAAGGCCCAGTGTGCTGCCTCACTTCTCCACTATGCATAGCAGTCTCCTTCAGTGTAATCACTCTCTGGCTCTTCCTTCGTGGGTCCCTACCTGCCACGCCCTCTCAACTCATGGTTACTCACAAGGCACTGTGTCTCGAAGATACTCCCACCACTGCCGAAGTGTAGAGTCCCCCATCATGTACACGATGCGGCCTGCCAGGCAGTCCAAGATGCTGCTGACAGTGGGGAAGGAACGGCTATCACAGAACCTTGAATGCCATCTGTCTTGGTGGTAGAAACCAGAGGGCTTTGGGGACAGGTGGCCAGGACGGCATGGGGGCCTTGAGGACAAGGCTATAGGAAGGAAAGAAAAAGAACAAATTAAATAATCAGAAGAGCTAACATGAGCATTTAAAATATGTTGGGCAGTCTTTAAAATTTTTTTTGTAAATTAAAAAATTACATTTATTATTGTTGTTGATTTTTTGAGACAGGATCTCCCTGTAGTCCCAGCTGCCTTGGAACTCACTATGTAGACCAGCTGGCCTTAATCTCACAAAGATCCCCTTGCCTGTATTCTCTCTCTCTCTGTGTTCGAGACAGGATCTCACTATATAGCTCTGGCTGGCCTGGAATACCCTTTGTAGACCAGGCTGGCCTTGAGCTCCCAGAGATTCACCTACCTCTGCCTCCTGAGTGCTGGAATTAAAGGCAAGTGCCACCATGCTCAACCTGGACTTTCAGTTAAAGAAAAGATTAGTTTTAATGTGTGTGTGTGTGTGTGTGTATCCCCTGGAGCTGGAGTTACGGGCAGTTGTGAGCTTCCTGAGATAGGTGCTGAGAACCAAAACTCAGGTCCTTTGGAAGAACAAGTGTTTTTAATAGCAGAGCCATCTCTCCAGCCCCATGAGTGGATTTTCTACAATGACTCCATTTTGACTTTGTATCTTTTTTCTGTGGACTCTCAAGTACTGCCCTGTTGCAAGCTCTGCCTGTGTTGAGGAGGCTCCCATAGACCTCCCCTGTGCCCCTACAGTCTTATACCTTGTGCTGGTCATCTAATGAGCATAGTTATGCATTCCTCATTGGAGGAGGACACCAATGTCTTCAATTTCTCCTTTTCTGAAGGAACCCCAGGACAGAGGGTGTACCCTTTGCACACTAGGGGTCGTGGTTAGGTCCAGGCCAGTCAGCTGGTCAGTATGCAAACAATGCTCTGGGAACTTCCATAAGAAGTAAGATGGGCACTTAACTGGGGCCCGACTTCTTTGCATGCCCACTGTGTCCCTGAAGTGTAGAATCAGCTCCTTTCTTCTACCTAAGCTGTGTTCTCCATCTACCCAGGCACCCTTGAATTAGCTGGACCACACCCTTTCCTGTTCTGATTACTCTTAAATAAACCTCTGTCAAATGCAAAAACAGGGGCTGGAGAGATGGCTCAGAGTTACGAACACTGGCTGCTCTTGCAGAGGACCCTGGTTTGGTTCCTAGCACCCACATGGTGCATCACAACTGTCTGTAACTCCAGTTCCAGGGGATCTCATGCCATCTTCTGGCCTCTGAAGTCATCGCATGAATGGGTACACTTGCATACATGCAGGCAGAATATTCATACATGTAAAAATTAATTAACTAATTAAAAAGCAAAAACAAACAAGAACAATAGGATCAGGCAAGATGACTTAGCAGGCAATGGTGTCTGCCACCAAGCCTGAAAACCGGAGTTTGATCCATAGGACTCACAAGGTGGAAGAAGAAAACTGACTCCCATAAGTTGTCCTCTGACCTCTGTGTACCCATACACACACACACACACACACACACACACACACACACGCACACACACAACAAATAAATAAATGTGTAATGAATTTTAAAATAAAATAAGCTAGAGAGCAACTGAGGGCATCCTGATATCAACCTCCATGGGAGAGCACACCCCCACACACGTGAACACATGCACACACACACACACACACACACACACAAACACACCTCGTCTAAGTCTCTGGCCATCCTCAACCCTCAACATATTCCAGCCCCACTCACCCAGACTACTCCTTTTCCCAGTGGTTGCTGGTTTGACCAGGATTGGAGATATGCCTGAAGGGAGTGGCTTGTCAGTCACGTTCCTGGGGAAATACTGAGTGTGAACATTCAGGGAAATTAACCTGGTGAACACTTGAGTCAGGAATGGCATGCCATGATTGGCTAGGCATTTCTCCCCTGCCTAATTTCAGATAATTGCAATAGGATGAACACATTAATAACATGGGGGCAATTACGATAGTTATGGGATATATGCAAGGAAGAGAAAAAAATCTCATCAGTTCACTAACAATCAAGATTTAAAGAAAAACAAAGCACAATTGAACCAGCTCATGTAATCATGTAGTTCTCTTTTATGATAAATGGAAATCCAAAGCAAGTAAGAAAATACAACCTTTTCTGGGTACTAGATTCTAGAAACAGCACTAAATTTTGTTGTTGTTATTATTATTATTATTACATAAACAGAACTAAGGACTGTAACTTCCCCCTTTTATTTTTTATTTTATGTGTATGAATGTTTTGTTGTGTGTAAGTGTACTAATGCGTACAATGCCCATGGAGAAGGTGTCAGATTCCCTGGAGTGGCTATGAGCCACCACTGGGTGCTGTGACCAAACCTGGGTCCTCTGCAAGAATAGCCAGTGCTGTTAACCACTGAGCCATCTCTCCAACCCCTCCCCCCATTTTTTGACACAGGGTCTCGTACACCCCAGGCTGGCCTTGTATTCACTAAGCGAGCAAGGATGTTCTTGAACCCTTGCTCCTTCTGTCTCCTCCTTCTGAGTCTTGGGATTATAAGTATGGGCTTAACTCCCTTCTTTTTCTTCCTCCTCTTCCTATACTTCCTCCTCTTCTTTTTAACAATCCATGTATTTATTTTGTGTGTATGTGGGGGTGCTGTGTACATGTGTGTGGAGGTCAGAAGACAACTTGTGGGAGTCAGTTCTCTCCTTCCACCAAGTGGGTCCCTGGGATCAAACTCAAGTCCTCAGTTTTGGCAGCAATCACCTTTACCTGTTGAGCCATCTCTCCAGCCCTTAACTCCCCAGTCCCTAAGTGTGGGTTATACATAGCAACTTCAAAGATATGAGACAAAAGAGGAAGTAGATAAGGGAGAAGAGCTTTCCAGTCAAGAAACCTGATCAACACCCCTTTATTCAGGTGATCAAGGTGATGAATGTGAACAGCACATATCTCTTCAAAACTGAATATGTTGAGTCATACCCATAATCCCAACACTCCGGAGGCTGAGATTGGACGATTTTGAGTTTAAGACCAGCCTGGGCTACATAGTGAGACACTGTCTCAAAAATCCAAAACAAATAGAAGTTATATTGATAGCATGACATACTTGATGAGATAAAAATGTAATTTCACCCTTGTGTTCTTCCTTCCCAAGACACATGATCCCAATCTAACTATAAGAAAAATATCAGTCCAAGCCAGATATGGCAACACACACCTTTGATCTTAGTACTTGGGAAGCTGAGGTAGGAGGATTGTGAGTATGAGGCCAGCTCGGCTACATGGTAAGAACCTGTCTCAAAGAAACAAAATTAGGATGGGGATGTAGTTAAGTTAGTTGACAGAATGCTTTTCAAGGTGTAGGAAGCCCTGGGTTCAAGTTCCAGCACAGCATAAAACTGAGCATTTTGGCACATTTCCTGTAACCCCATCACTGGGGAAGTGGAGGTAGGAGGAGCAGGAGTTCAAGGTCATCCTCAATTACATAGAGAGTTCGAGGTCAGTCTGGGCTACAGAAGAGATCACGTCTCCAAAAAAAAAAAAAAAAAAAAAAAAAGTGGCAAGGGGCTGGAGAGATGGCTCAGCAGTTAAGAACACTGACTATTCTTGCAAAAGACCCAAGTTCGAATCCCAGCACCCACATGGTAGCTAACAACTGCCCATAACTCCAGTTCCAGGGGATCTGACAGCCTCTTCTGTCCTCTACAGGCATTGCACGACACAAGTGCACTTACCTACATGCAGGCATAACACCCATACACATAAAATAAAATATTTTGGGGCTGGAGAGATGGCTCAGCGATTATGAGCACTGACTACTCTTGGAGAGGAGCCAAGTTCGATTCCCAGCACCCACATGGCAGCTACGAACCATCCTTAACTCTGGTTCCAGGGGAATCTGAAGCCCTCTTCTGACCTCTGCGGAATTGCACATGGGTGCAGTTACCTACATGCACGCAATACATGCATACACGTAAAATAAAAATAATAAAATATTTTAAAAGGCGGGGGGCAAGGTGGGGTGGGGGGGCACTGGTGAGATGCCTCAACAAATAAAGATACTTTGATTCAAACCTGCTGACTGGAGTTCTATCCCCAGGACCTAAATGGTGGAAGGAGAGAATGGACTCTTGCAAGGTGTTCTCTGATGTCCTTACGAGTGCCCACACACATACACACACAAAATAAATAAATAAATAAATAAATAAATGTAAAATGAATGAACAACCCCCCCTCCCAAATCCTGGGCTGTGAGATGACTCAGTAGGTACAGACAGTTTTGTTCAAGATGGATAACCTGAGTTCAGTCTCCAGAACCCACATGGTAGAAGGAGAGAACTGACTCTCCAGATGTGTGCCCCTCCTTATTCACCCCCTACAAATAGATAAATGTAAAAATTTAAAAGATGAAGGAGGGAGAGAGGGAGGGAGGCAGGGGCTTAGGCTTGGGACACATCTGGATGCCAGGACTCTTACCCAGCGAACAGGGCTTCATCTTGTGGTGTGGTCACCTTCAGGTAACTTCCACTTGAATGACCAACTAAAGCATTGCAGGGTAAGGTATGGGGTTGAGTGCAGAACCAGACCTCCCCAGAAACCTCATCCCTGTACTGACAGACAGGCCCTTTGCTTCCAATTGATTGCGGATCCACATTGCAGATCATGGTCTCTTTGGCCCTTTCTTTTCCTTGGAAATACCCCCTGAAATCAACAGTGGCCCTTTTTTCTCTCCAGATTCTCTGAAGAACCCCAACTGCCTCACTGGAGTGGATCAGCCGCACTTGCACCTGAGCCTTCCCAGCCCAGAGCAGGGGGAAGGATAACAGGTACGTTCCATTCTCCAGATCCTTCACCTCCCCTGGAACCCCTGCTTTAGATTCTGGACCCAGGAGCTGTGCCCGAAAGAGATCCCCACCGTGGGTCTTGGGCCTGCCCATGTGGTCTCTGGCTACAAGGATAGCCTCTAGGTGACCTCCCAGATCATAGGTAGCCTTGGCAGGACCCTTGAGGTAGTAGGTAGAGGTCTTGGGGCTGGTGGAGACCAAAATGTTACCCCTGTCTCTACCAGTTGGAGGCCAGTACAGAAGATGGGTTAAGTTAGTGAGTTTATGAGTGTGAGAATCCCAGTCAGAAGACTCCATGGACTCAGAGGCATATTTAGAGACAGGAAAGGGCACTGGGGGCGGATGGATGATGGTTTCAGGCCAAAACATCTTGAAGTAGATCACCTGTGGGCAGAGAAAGGAGAATTTGTCAGTATGTTGTACGTATCATATTTTCTTCCTGGAAGATGTTTCCCTTGGCCAGGTAGCACCTGAGTCCTACTGCAGTACATTAGGCTGTCTGTCACTCAGCCAGGTGTGGTGCTTCATGCCTTTCATCCCAGCACTCAGGAGGCAGAGGCAGGCAGATCTCTGTGAGATTGAGGCCAGTCTAGTCTCCATAGTGAGTTCCAAGCCAGCTACAGCTGCAGGGAGATCTTATCATAAAAGAAAAACTCCAGGCTGGCTTGGTGGCGCATGCCTTTAATCCCAGCACTCGGGAGGCAGAGGCAGGAGGATCTCTGTGAGTTCAAGGCCAGCCTGGTCTACATAGTGAGTTCCAGGACAGCTGGGGCTCCAGGGAGACCCTGTCTCAAAAAGACAAAAAAAAAAGAGAGAGAAAAACTCCAAAAATAGGTCAACTGCAAATCTCAGCAGCTGCCTAGAGGAAGAAGATACAGAAGAGGAAGAGAGGATGCCGAGCTGTTTGAGTTAAGCATGAATGGACAAACAGCCTCATGGTGGGGAGGGGAACTTTAGAAAAAAAGTAAAGGCCAGTGTGCTAGGGAAAGTGAAGGAGAACAGCAAGGAAGAGGTTAAGAACAGTCAGGGATGAAGACTGGACAGTTCTTGAAAACAAGAACGTTGGGCTTGGCAGAACGATGCCTTAGTCATAGATCAGAGAAAAACATAAGTCTAAATCATGGTACTGCAAAACATAGGATGATTGTTTAATGTTAAATGTAATCACCAGTTGACTAGCCTTCCTGGAAACTGTTAAAATCTATAGATTTTGTAAGAAACTAATATACTCTTTGTAGCCTACTGATTAAATGTTAACCTGTAGAATGTGCTTTGTTCTTTGTGAAACTAATTCTGTCGTGTTCTGGCACAAACACCAAGCTTGTAACTGTAGTTTTGAGAGTATAAAAAAGCACTGCTGAAGACTTAAACTCCTCTTCTCCTCCATCAGAGGGCTGAGTCCTTTGTCTTAACTCATTCTGTTTGTCCAGCAGCAGACCTGAGTCTCTATAAGAAAGCATCCTTAGAAAAGAGATAGAAAGGGGCTGGGGAGATGGCTCAGTGGTTAAGAGCACTGGCTGCTCTTATAGAGGACCTGGGTTTAGTTCCCAGCACCCACATGGTGGCTAACAACCATTCTAAACTCCAGTTCCAGGGGATCCAACACCCTCTTCTGGCCTCTGTGGGCATTACAGGCATGGGTGCATGGGTGTACTTACATGCAAGCAAAACACACACGTAAAAAAGAAATAAATCGAATCATTTCCTCCATGCTTCCAAGAGAAGCCAACAATGGTCGAGCAGGACCTTTGACTTATCTTCACGTAGATGGAACTGGTAAAAGAAAGGAGCCAGGGGCTTCTCCCAAGCCCATGGGACCCCTGAGGAACAGATCCTCAAACGACCTCAAGAGTGAAAACAAATCAGTTTATCTGGTCCAATGGTATGTCCTTAAACACCCAAAAGGGAAGTATAACCAAAGATTAAAGGAGCCAATATAATTTCATAAGAGCACACATATATATAACTAAAAGTTACTTGACAAACAGCAAAGCCAGACAGG